TATTTATTAATCATTATATATAATATTTTGTTGGAAAAATTCACATGAATAATCTGAACTATTGATGGTCTTCTCATATTAATCTCAAATATAAATAATATCAATATAATCTAAACTATATAGAGTATCTGCCAAAAACAATCCCATAACCTGAATAAACCAGTTCAACCGGTCATCTGCGGGGTGTCTTGTTTTCATTGGACTTCCAAGTCATTTTATTTTACTTTTATTCATGTTTTCTCTTTTATTTTCTTTTTTCCCCATTTATTTTATCTTCTTCTTTCCTCTGTACTTTTCTGAGTTTCTCCGCTCGTCTTCTTCTTTCTCCGCCCTGAACTGTCCCTTCGATTTGCTGTTTTGTTTATTGTTTTTCTTTTCTCCTCTCAAGCTCCCACTTTCCCCTTCTTCTTTCTCCAGTTCTCTTATCGTGCTTTTTCTTTTACTTTTTCCAAGGCCGCTCACCAATTCATGGATTCATGTCCAAATACAAACCTGGCACATCCCATTCAATTTCGGCAAAAACTTGGAGGTATGGGACACGAAATAGAATAAACCGGATCTGCAATTAAATCCTTATTAGTGGCCTAGTGAGTAATTTGAGTTACTGCGTTGGACCCAAGGAGAGCAGAGAACGAACTTGACTTCCTAACACATCGGCACCAACACTCCTTCACCATCCTTTTTGCCGGCTTCTTATTCTTTCAAATTAAGAGAGCTAAAAAATTCTATTCAAACATATGGTTGAGCAAAAGACTCTAGAGGGGAACAACCGAAGGTGGAGACTCGGGAAAAGATAAGAGGAGGGGAGATAGCCGAAGCCCATAGCAGGGGAGTAGCCGGAATTCTGGCTCTCATAGCCTAGAAGAGAAAAGTCCGCAGACTCGTCGGGTAGAAGCGAGATGTGCAAAAGGTTTTACCTGTCAAACAAGTTCCAGGTCACCTTGGAGCATTTTGAGAAGAATACTCGCTAAGTTGAGATTATTATGGAATAATACATATATGGGATTATTATCAGAAGAATGTCAATAGGTGGGAATGTGGGATTATTAATGTGAATTTTTTCTATTTTGTTTAGTTATTAATTCTTAATTCTAGAAAATTAATGTTTGATACTAGATTTATTAAGATCTGCAAGATATTGAAATTTAATATTTATGGTTTAATTAAGTGAAACACTTGTACATGTAAATATACTCAAGTCTATTGCTATAATACTAATATGTTGATATTTTAAATCGTAATTAACATTTTATTTGTTGTTGCATGACACTGATATTTTTCTTGATATATTAAATGTTATGTATGTTTGTTATCACATATTTTGTTATATTGAACAAGTATGTATTAGTATAAACTATACTTTAAACAACATAGCGGAAAACGTGAAACTTTAGAGCATAAATATCTTTATATAAAAAAAAAAGTAGAATAAGTTACATTTTTTAAATTTTTATTATTAATAAATATTTAACTTGCGAATACACAGTATATAATTCACAAATTAACTCATGCATTTGATTAATTTAGAAAATGTTAAAACTGATATACAGGTACCCTCTAACTCATTGTTTGGAAGTCCATTTGTTTCTTCTCTCTTTTTAAGTATATATGTCTTTGTATTGTCTTACTATTAATAATAGTTTGATGTAGTTTTATATTTTTTGTTTTTGTTTTTTTATTAGTATTTTTCTAATCAACAAAATATTTTGGTAAAAATCGAAAAAACCAAAATCGCACCAAAATATACCGAATTTAACAAACCGTGGTTCTATTTTTGGAACATAAAACCAAACCGAACTTTTTACTTTGATCGGCATTTGGTTTTAATTGAAAATCGAACCGTTTGAACCAAAATAAAATCTTATGTTTATTTTAAAGTATTATAACTTTTAAATTTGTATTCTAATTGTTACAAAAAAATATATCAAAATTGGGGAAAATAATTAAAATATCACAAACTTTGAAAGGGTGTGAGGGAAGCACCACAAACTTGCATATGTAATTTAAATACTTCGATCTTTATATAAAAAGTTATTTTAGCACCATTGTGATGTATTATTTCTTTCAAAAATGTTAATTTTTTGTGTTAATTTCATAATTTAAAACATTTTAGCATTCATGAAGATACAATTAACATTTTAAACTTCATTGTAAAATAAATAATACTACACCCGCTCTATATAATTGCAACATTTTCAATTTGCTATTTTAAATTATGCAATAATGAACACCATAAATTTACATTTTTGAAAGAAATAATATATGACCATGGTGCTAAAATAACTTTTATATAAAGTTTAGGGTATTTAAATCACATATGAAAGTTTGGGGTGTTTATCTCACACACCTTCAAAGTTTGGGGTATTTGAATTATTTCCCCCCATTTTTAAATTGTTGTATCTTTTTATTTTAATCTGACTGTTACAAAAAATATATTAAAATTCATAACAATTTCTTATCTCTCATATTACACATATGTTGTGTGTGTGTGTAAATTCTATTCTATTTATTTTTACAATTTGGGATCGTTTTTTACAGTGCACTCTATTTATTGTTTTATTCTTTGCGCTATAATTTGTGCAGTTTTATTCTAAGTCATCACTCCGATATGTGTTGGCCGAGAGTTTCAGCTCTCAGAAAGTTTTATTAATATATTTATAAATGATACATTTCACGGTTACATTTTGGGAAAGTATTGTCACGTGTCAACACAATAATAACCGTCCTTGAATAATTCTTATGCTAATTTCCTAATTCGTATAAACAATTACGACTGTAAACATATAGAATCCATATATGATGCTACATATGTAAACGTCATGAGTATTTGTATTTAGGATGTTTTCTTTTGGACTAAAGTTTGCTGGTCCGGTCTGATATGGTACTCTGGTCTGGTCTGATCTGGTCTGGTTCGATCTGGTAAACGTAGGGTCACTGTGTATTTTATAACTACAGGAGTCTGGTCTGGTCTGGTTCGGGACTGAAAATGGTCCATAAGAAAACATCCTTATTTGTGATTGAATTATGTTCAAACGCAAATTCTTACAACTATTAACTCATGAGCTAATAACCCACGGCATGTCTTGAAAATTCTCTTTATGATACTGAACAACTCTGTCGATTATCAAATCTTTGGGCTTTGTCATGCTAAACTATATATAATTATATATCATTATGAATTTCTCTTTAGCTTTCACTCCCCCCACAATATCCATGTTAGAATTAACAACTTTAGTTGTTTTTCTAAATTTCCTCTATACTTCAATAATGTTTTCTCTTTTCAGATTACATTTGCTTTATAAACTATTGATACGAAAAAATGATAATAATAATAATAATAATAATAATAATAATCAAATTGTTCTCCGTCCACTCTTAATAATTCCAAGAGGCAACGATCGATTACGTCAAAATAATTCCAACTTTATGGACCTTTCGTTAAAAATGGTGAGGCTACCTACTATGTCAATGATAGAACGTATAAACACACTTTTTCCATAATTCTTATCTAACTGTTACAACGATTAATCATAAAAAAGAGATTAAACATGGCCTGACAGGTTTTGGATTATCTAATGGCTACAACTAATTCTTGATATGAAGAGTGTAACAAATGAATCATTTCATTTTTTTTGGCCAAAAATAAGTTACTCTGACTGAAAGCTGAAAGAAGTTAATAGAAGTTACTGGATAATTTTTGGCAAATAGAAGTTAGGACTGAATCGTTTCATTTAATTTTAGAAACATTATGAAATTTTTTGGCAGATGGAAGTTAATAACGTTCGTTACCTATTCTATAATATCCTGAAAGCTGAAATGGACCTTTCTACTGGATAATGTTGTGCATACTAATTCAGTCCTATGTATAAAGCATGTTTCAAGCCTCTAAGATGTTTGGAAAAATTAGAGTATTTTAAATGAATAATAATTTTTTTTGGGAAAACTATCAAATAAGCCCCCGTACTATGCCGAAAAAGTCGATCAGGCCCTCGTACTTTAGAAACACTCAATTAAGTCCTCAAACTATTAAAAAACGTTCAATTAAGCCCTTTTGGTCGGTAAGTAACCGGTTTCCCGGTTAAACGGCGACGGCGACAACGATGTGCTCGAACCCCAGCAACGGCGGCTGCCGGGCAACGGGTTACATTTAATCGGGAAACCGGTTACTTACCGACCGAAAGGGCTTAATTGAACGTTTTTTAATAGTTTGAGGACTTAATTGAGTGTTTGTAAAGTACGAGGGCCTAATCGACTTTTTCGGTGTAATACAGGGGCTTATTTAATAGTTTTCCCTTTTTTTTTTGTATTTTACCTGTCCCGCACTCCCACATTTGTTTGGAAAGGTAACCTAGACATTTAAAATATCAATTAATTTGTAAGATGTAGGTAAAAGAATATTCGGACGAGTCTACTCACCCACATTTGTATATATAATTAAATACCTCAATCGTTAGCCAGCCATTAAGCACCTATAGGCTATAGCCTATAGTTTGTGATCAGATTATTATTTGTGTATGAGATGCAATTAGATTGTAACCACAATGCGTGATGTTTGGATTACTTCTGATTGAGATCGACTCATATTTTTAGATAAGCATCAGATTCCTTTTTTTTTACATAGAGATGAATGATTGTCTGCTATGAGTTTGAAACTTTGAACAAAAATTTAGTCATTTCCTCGTTGGGGTGCAGACTGCAGACTGCCATTTCAGCAGAAGAACCAAAGTCACCCTCAAGCTCCAGAAAAAGAAACTGAAAAAGGAGTTCAGGCCTAGGCCCAGGATGAGGTTTAAAAGATCACTTTTAGTCTTATAAATATTATGTCAATTCCACATTTGATCTCTTTTGTGCATGATGATTATTGTTCCCTTGCCATTCACTGTCCTTCAGGCCAAATTTCTAGCACCTCTCAGGCGGCTTTTAAGCACCTAAAATGTAGATATCACTAAATCTACGCAAAAAACATGGCAAAATCACAAAACAGGATTTGTATAATACTTGTGACACCAAAAATGAAATTTATTCTTTTCTCAACAAACAATGTGGAGAAAAAATTATTGTTCTAATTTGATCTTGGGATCGGCCAACCAATATGTGTAACGCTCTGGAAATGTAGCGAATATGCAAGAAGAGGGGTCAAATCTTGCACATACAGAATACAAGTCATATAAAAGGACAAACAGTGAAACAGCAATGTAAGATGGATAAAAGCCGTATCGTTCACTTTCACGCAACACTACAAAATTAATTATGTGGATTATAAGTTGCAACTCGGTGAAAATCAGATGCCTTTCTTGTATATTCTCATCCGTTCTGTGTTTGAGGAATACCTGCTTCCAGGTAAACTATGATAAGGTGCCTCAATTGATCAATGTTCAACTATTCTTAGTTCGTCCATCCATCAAGAAGCTCTCTTAGGAAGAGCCATATTACCAATTAGACGCACGGTTGTAGCAACTGAGAATATCTGTACCAAAAATCCTGCACACACACAAAAGGTGTGTTCAGATTACAATGGGCACTGAGCATTTCAGGCAACAAGATTCAGGAATTATATGTTCAGATTGAAGAGCTCACCAAGTATAATAGCACCAATCTTCAGGACTTCAATATTTGGTGGCAGCAAGCTATTGAAGTTTTGAAGAACCTAAAAGAGAGACATAATAGAAAAGAGAATTCTAATATCCCCATTCAATAGTAGTAGGTAAACTTTTATGACAACTCCTGTGCATAACTTTGTATCCGTGTAGCACAGATATGCAGACATGTAGACACAAATATGATGGCATGACAATCTAAGAAAATATAGAACACAGGTATCGGTGTATTTGTGAATCTTAAAAATTGAAGGGACTGACTTGCAGGTGTATGTTTTTCAGAAAGAAAAAAAACTATGAAAACTATTCTCTAAATGGTGTAATCGTTCTAATTTTTACAAAATTAATAATGGAGTCTCAATAAATAATCATTACTTAAATTATGAATTACTGTTTGGTTTGTTCTTGAAGGTTTTATCTAACATGTAATTTCAAAATATACAAACATCTATCAATAAAGAGTTCTATTTAGGGAACGTTTTCTCTTTCTTTTGTTAAGTCCAAGATTATCAAGATTTTTGTCTGGATGAAGCGATCTTTATATATGAGAATGTTTAGTTTGCGTGCTGAATAAACAGTGTAAATTGATTCAAACCACTTATATCACTAATAAGCACAAATAGCACAACGATGACTAGTCAGCAAGTTATTTTCCACTTTTCAAACTAGGTTTGCTCGACTCTTTTTAGCGTAGCCCCAAGCATTGGATGATTCAAACTACTTCTATCACTAATGATCTTTATTGATAATTTCTTTGGCTCAGTTCCATGTAAAATAAACCCTATGCTTCATCTTCATCCATGGTTTACTGCTTTGATTGGACTATCTTGTAGTTTTATACGGAGTATATTTTTATATGTTTATTTTTTTAGTTCTGTTGCACATGTACAACAGTACAAGAATATCTTCTTCTCTTCCATTTTGTATTCTGTTTTACAAATATAAGTTGGTATAATACTCCAAATCAAAATGAAAAAATTAAACTTGTAAGTTTAAGGTTTGAATTTTAATTTATTTTGTTCTTTCTAAGCTATAAGCTGGTATGTCTTCCTTTTTTTTTTATCTTTTTTATAATACCTTATCTTTTTTGTCTTTCTTTTCGTTTTGGTTTTGATATATCATGCATCGGTCCATGTTAGCCGACCCCAAAATCTTTTGGGACTAAGGCTTGGTTGTTGTTGTTGTTGTTCTTCTTCTTAGGCATGTATCGTGTGTGTGTCAATATGTTTGTGTGAGGTGGTGACTTTCCACTTTTTTACCAGTTTGGGAATCTCAAGGTTGGGTCCTACTATAACTTATGTTCCACTTTTTTTTTACCTCACAAGTTTAGGTAATATGATTTTTTATTGTCTCTTATAAAGAATGTTTTTATTTGCCACCGCTACTTCACTTCTTCCATTATGATCAGACGCTGGTGTCTTTTTTCTATCGTTGGACTGATCATTATGATTTAAAATTTATTAACGTTTTTTCTTCTCAAAAGAAGAGTTTGTTAGTTTGCCAATAGTATTTCCGGTTGGCGGTTTATTATGTAGAATGATCCTTATGGAATGAATTTATTGTGTGGCTAGATGAATGTCTCAATCACAAATCTAAGATTCAATTCAAAATCAATGATAAAAGAAAAAGTTTTCATTCAGAATTTGTCAATGAGGGCGATGCAGAAGATTATGGACTCTATGATGATGGTACTGACGACTAATGTTTTAAATTTTGATTAAAAAAGAAGTGCATTTTGACATGGAGGATGATGAGTAGTGACATTTTGACACGGAGCTATAAACAATCACATATATTTACCTCTAAAGGATTCTGGCTCATGGCAAAACATGTAGCAGGAATTAGCACAGCTATGGATGATCCGAACACATACAACTTTAAAAAGTTTGATCTGCTACGCTTTCGACCTTCAGCACACACACACACAAAAAAAAAACTTATGGAAATGAAAATTGTACAAGCATTAAGTCAATACCTATGAAGGGAAAGCATAGGAGAATAATAAATTATATAAACCTAATTCTCCAAAAATAAGAGAGACGAAGCCTATTGCAGCAGAGCAGAAAGCACATCTTTCAAATGTCTGAGTCTTCACTGCTACAAAAAATGAGAGTGCTGATATTATCAAATGAACAACTGCCTGCAACAAGGAGTGCGGTTTAAATACATGATAATAATCCTGAAGACACTAAAGAATGTACCAACTTGGCTAATAATTGCCAATAAGAGAAAGCAAACAAAACCTAAGCCGTTATAACTGCATATACCTGAATGAGTATTATCTTCGAAAGTTGAGATTTTCCTTTAGCTACTTTTTGGTACCCTAATTAAAAAATGAAATAACTCATTACGGAATAAAAAATAAAGAAACGGAAGGGAAAGATAGTGGTCAGTTCACGAAACCCTATCAGAAGCAAAATTAAACCTACTTGAGTCTACCACCATTCGGAATGAGTAGTCGGAGCCATCGGTTCCGGACGGACGCCGACTAGCCGTCGATGTCCTCTGGTGCATGCCTTTATTTCGCGCCCAACTGCTACGAGTATCGAAAACTACAGATATTATCACAGGTGAATAATTGCTGAATCTGAGCTCACCAGAAGAGAAACTACATATATTATTATTACTCTTTTCGTCTCATATTCAAAGGTTCTCTTTTTACTTGTGCGTCTTAACTAAAAATTCTCATTTTCTATTTTAGAAAGTAATTAATACTCTCAAACAACAATTTAATTATCAAATATTAAAAAATAATGCATCTATAATCTCACAATTATCATCATATTACACCCTCCATCCCGTAAATAACTTCCCTCTTCATTTTCACACATATTTACTGTTTAGACACTGTTTGGCACTGTTTTGATGTAGAGAATTTGCCAAATAAGGAAGTGGGAAGAAGTGGGAAGTTAATTTCGGAACTGCCCAAAAAGGAAAGTGGGAAGTTGTTTACGGGACGGAGGGAGTACTATATTATATACACATTAATTTTTTTTTTCAAAATACACTCAAATTAGCATATTAAATAACTGGCTAAATAATCATGATATTTTGCAATGAAAACCTTTGAATGGACGGATACATTATTATTATTATAGTACTAGTAGTAGTAGATCATGTCGTACTAGTAACAAAATAGCAATTATAATAATTATTGGTTACTAGTCATAATTAAGTTATTACCAGTTACAATGCTTTTTATTACAATTATTAGTAAGAGTATACACAATTTAATAATAATAATAATCATATTTTAGCTATTAATTTATAGATTCATACAATCTAATTTATAATTACTTGACTATTTACTATCTTTTGGCTGATAGTTAATAGTCACGATGTTATAAATTACAGAGTAGATTGTGGTGGTTGTTTTTTTATTTATTTTTTAAATATACAGATTTTGTGGTGACAGACATAAGTTTAATTCTAGAGGTATAAAAACAAAGAATAAATTAAGAAATTTGGTATTAAAAGTAATAATGTTACTATTTTTACACTTAAAAAATAGTAACTGTAGTTATACATGATGCTTTAAAGAGTTTAAATAAAATATGGATTGAGAACTTTGGTACATGACAAAGTAAATCACTAAACTTGGTACAAATTATTAATTTATGTGATAAATTTCGGTTGCATTTGATTTTCAACGGTTGGTTGAAAACGTTATACCACTAAACTGTAACTTGCAGTGTTTTATGTTTATAATAACTTTATATGGAATTGGCATTTTGAATGAAAACGCCATTTTCAAAACGCTAACTCAAAACTCTCCTATTTGCAGCGTTTCCATTTCAGCGGTTCCGTCCAAAAACGCTAGGACCGAACAACTATTTACCAAACGGCATTTTCATTTACTGAAAACACTATAAGGGGTCAAAGCGCTATTTTTTTGGCTGAAACGCCATATTCCAAACACCCCTCGACCCTCGTATAGTAAACGTATGACTTTTTAATAGGAACCGAATCAGTTTTAAATGTGGTTATACACTACTTGGATTTTGGATTCATTTTTTTGGGGGAGGAGATTTTGGATTCATAAAAAATGTAGTTGGTATTAGATGGTTTCACATGTTCACGATGGGGATAAGGCCAACCGGTGCAATATTTTTTAGTTGTAGTTAGATAGATAGTTCTCAACTTGCTAATCTACTTTAGAATTCCCAATCAATTGAATTGAAACTCACTTTCAGAAGAAAACTATGCAGCCAATGATTGTGCCCTACGCGACTTCAAAGTATAAAATTCATCAACAATATAGAATCTACATCTATTAATGCAAAAAGATGGAGGCAGCTCCAAATTTGAGATAGTTTGGATTTCAGGGATTTGGTCTGTGGAGGAACCTCATTTCGTAGATCTTGCATTATAGTAGGTATATGTTCATTAATCATTATTCATTTTAAAAAAACATTTTGAATATTGGTATGAATTAAAATACTTTTATAAAATTATAAAACTAAAAAGAAAAAACAATAGTTGTGTATAAAACTAATAAGTATTCCCAATTTCAAAATTCTATTGAAATTTTTAATTCTTTCTTACATGTCCACACAATAAATAAATAAATCTATGTTCTTCAATTGTATAATAAATAAATCATTCTCTAATCTTTAATCACTATAAATTTATAATGAATAAACAATATTTTGTTATGAACTGAAAAATTGAATTAATAATCAAATCGATTCTCTAGCCCTAAAAATAACAATACACAATAACCCTGAAAAATTCAATTAATAAAATTTTAAAAGAGTATTAGAAATTCAGAGCTAGAGTATACCTGGTCACCTAGAGGCCGGAGCTCAGGAGCTACAGGCAGAGCGGATAGCCGGAGAGAAAGGACGGCCGAGTGAGCGACGGCGTCCGGCGTCGCGGCTGGTGGATGCAGGTCGGCTGGTGTTCGCAGTTCACAGCGTCTTCAGTCTTCGTCGTTTCGACAGGCTGCCAGGCTCTTCTTCGACCTCCGTTCTTCAATCTTCTCATAAGAACTTCAGGAGACCGCAGTGGATTAGTGGAATAGCTGGACACTTGGATTAGGCTTTGGCTGGACTGGGAATTAATTTTGGCCCGATAAAATTTTGTTATCTCAAATATAAAATTTTGGCCCCAACAATAATCTCAATTATTTATTATTTTTGTATAATCCCAACTATATGGATCGTTCGCCAATAATGGTCTATGATCGAATAATATCTGCTATAATGGGTGAATTTTAAACAGAAATTAAGCGTAAAAATTAAAAATTGGAATTATTTATAGGATTACCTGCTATATTTTTCTATCATGAATTATTACTATCAAAATTTTCACGTTTTTCTAACATCTTCAAAATTTTCTGATCTCTCATCATCAAGATATATGTTTCCTCTATTATAATTTCATATTATCTGATTTTACTTACCAATACCATTATATATTTATATCTACCCACATTCCAATTCCCTGTTTAATATCCTTCATTATTTGTAGATTTATCTTTCACTATCTATGCTTTCCCTAAGAATACTTTATATAACATCTTTTATACACAATGTCTTCAGTACAATGTCTTCATTACTGAAAGATATTTTATGATGTGCTACGCAGACATTTTCTTACCGAGCAGTCAACACTCATGCACACTATTTATGCAAATACTGAATACGGGTTGTGTTCGTTTTCTTTTCAAATGTTATGTGTGAGCGGCACCAAATCTTTCGCCGTCAAAGTGCCTATGATACCAGTTCATATTTGGTTACCCGAAGCTCATGTAGAGACACCTCCATTTTCAAATTCAATAAGACTTGCGCTTACAATTGTAGTAGGAAAAATTCACACCTTTAATCCTACCTATTAAAGTTCTTCCAATATTAATCCCAAATACAAATTAATCTCATCTTACACATTTTTAATCTTTTTGTTTTGTTCTTTTTCCTTTTCCCTATTTATATTTTACTTTTCAGGCAGCTCTCTCCTCAGTTCGTCCCTTCTCGCCCACATCCCCTTCTTTCTTCTTCGGTCTGCTCGACTCCTCCTCTCCACCTTCTTAGATGTTCATGAATTTTCAGCCTAAAGTAGAGCTTTGCACTCTTCTCTCCCCATAGTTGTTAACCCTCCACCCTTCCCAGTGTCGCAGTCAGTCCGTTCATTTCATCCCAGATGCCCCGATCTTTGTCATGAACATCAAAATCAAATTTGTGTTTGGATTGACCAAATTAATTTTTCCCCATCTAAAATTAAAAGAAAGAAGATCAAATTGAGCATGGCGTAAAACCTAAATCAAACAAAAATGGAATTGAAGGTGGGTAGGAGATAATCATCTACAAATAACATAAACAAGAAAAATAACCGGGGAGAATAATCTATGGCTAGCGCAAACTTGGATCCGAAAACCACAACTACAACTCAAACCTTTCAAACAGCTCTTCTTGAGTGTGTTGCCCGTCAATTGCATCAGAATAGAATAAAGAAGTACAAGAAATGGGGAAAGTAGAAGAAGATGGAACTAAAAGTAAAATATAAAGAAAGGTAAATGGGGAAGATGACAGCAAATGGGGAAGATGAGGGAAAAGAAAAAATCCTCCTGCATTCAACTTCTTCCTTTTCTTCTTTTTCTCCTTTTTTAATTTGTTTACCTGATTAGTAAGTAGCAGATCATGTCGGATCAATATGAGAAGACTAGTCATGAATTTCGGGTTATTTTAGAATTACCGGTATTTAGGATTAATATGAGAAGGCTAATGTCTAATGATAATTGAGATTATTTATGTGAATTTTTCCATTATAGTATTGTTCTAGTTAATTATTTTCAAAAGCCCGGAAAGAAGGAAAATGAATGTAGAGCAATACAACAGCAGTCATGCACTCCAATGCGAAAGTGACTCATACGGAGTAATAAATAAATAATGCATTTATTGTCGATCTTTTACTTATTCTGGATTTCTGGGTCCTATTAAATGGGAGTAAAAAGTTTTACTCAATGAACTTATGAACCCGATTAGCTAAAATGAAAGAATGACTCCAGAATTGTTTAAAACAATTGAAGATAAAATTTTGAAAGAACCAAGGAGAAGAATAGCTCAAATGATCATAAAGTGTGATTTCCTTCTACGTAGGTCATTCTCACTAAAAAGAATGTATTACTAATTACTGCACTGGTACAATTATTATGTGCTAATTTCAACCACCCCAATCAAATAGTAGTTTAGATTTTGAAAATGGAAAGCAAAGTCAAATATCACTTATAAGATAGACTGCAAAGTCAAATTCTCCCATTAGATTTAAATAAAACACCTAAGGTAGTGACGAAGTGTATGGTAAAACATACCGAAGTCCCAACCAATTAATTCTTGTTGAGTAATATTAGATGCATAAAAAGTTCTAAACATACAAAACTTATCAATGATAAGTTATTAAGGTGTTTGGGCGTGCAATTTGAACACTTATTTTAATGTTCAAAGCACTCGTTTAAGACTTGAGAGGTTATACAACTATTATTACATTTTTACGACTTGCACAAATTTTTTCGAAACGATAAGATAGGCAACTCCACTGGTACACAGAATGTAGAGTTGTAGACATAAAATTGTCAACTTAAACATTCTTTCTTTAAAAGTACAAACATATAAAACATACGGAGTACTATCTTGTGTTTCCATATTGCAGCTTGACTTTTCATGTCAAAATTCATTAACCTTCCAATAATACCATCAACTGACCATAAGTATTTACAGGGCAGGGACTTCTGTGTGAGGCTTGCAAAGCCAAACTCTGCCTTGATATGTGTCTGGACAATATAACGTGGTTATACACTTGTGCTCTTATGGTAAGAAAACCTATATTTCAGTGCGATTAGGGGTGCTATCCAAAGCAGGCTGCACGTTTTTTCCATCTGAAACAGGTGATATACCTTGTTCTATGCGCTGGAAAACAGAAATAAGGTTAGGAAAACACACTTTGTCATGTCAATCAAACAGACAAACATCACCAATCAAAACATAGATAGGCCTGTATATTAGCAATCTTGAATAAATATAGATGAATTGCGGCATAACTGCTATGCTAGTGACTATTCAGATTTTGGATTCCATCCTATAACATCAACATATAGTCGGTGCTAAATGGGTTAACGTGTTCATGGTGGGAATCAAAACAATCCGGTACAATCTTTTTAATTTTAGTCGTAGAGATAGCTCATGGAGCTTAATTCATCTGATAAATTTTAGAAATATGAATAGCCTCAAAGTTAAATAACCTAGGGAAGACGTCAAAAGGATGCACACACAGTGTAGTGACTAAAGAGGAGGGCGTCTTACACCCTATACCAGGTGTGTGTGTTTGAATGTGTGTGACTAAACAAATTCTTTCATATGCACCTTGTGTAGGGTAGAAAAATCAATAAAAAGGAACTTGAATCATTTTCAACTTCCTTCTCTCTTAGCTCGTCCAAATAAAAATAAATACTAAAAAACTAATTATCCTACTTAAAAAGGCCATGACAGAGTTATGCCTATCTATTTTGGAATTTCCAATCAACTGATTCTAAAATCACCTGCAGAAGAAAATTGTGTAGCCAATCTAGGGCTTGAGGAAACGCAGCAGCTGATATGTTCACGACCGTTAGACCCTGTAATTAGAAAATGGAGAGTTAAGATTTAAGAAGTCAGTGGTCATGGTTATCGATCTAAACAAACCAAATGAAAAGGATTAAGGGGTCGAGTGGTATACTCTGTATAATAAAAAACACAACAGATGAGAGGTTTTTATTAGCAACCCAACATGTGCTTAAGTAATTGATAACACTCAAAATGAGAGGAAACTCATGGAAATCTATGTATTAATGATGCCTATTTTATATTCTTTTATAATTATTTGAAGTAATGTTTTAAGCTACAAGTAATAGCCCTGATTTTATAAAAAGGTGGACATAATCAGCTTTCCTGAGTAAGGCTAGGGGCAAGAACTCTTTCCCGGGGAGTTCCTGCGGGCTCTTGGAGAGTGTTTCTTCAGAATCCTGATCTATCTTTTCCTGTGTTTATTAATTTATAATATTTTATTTAACTCTGCTTCTTTACTTCCTATGAGAAATAAACATATTGACATAGCTATTTACCAGTGAGAAAAAACAATGAAAATGAAAACTAGAAGAAAACAGCGATCCGAAGAAATATTTTCAGGTTTAAAACGCTCATTTGAGCATGCCCTTTTTGTTTTAAAACCTTTTGTTCTGAGCGTGGTTTAAAAAGGCGCTTACAGGGCGGGTTTTAAGGCGCACCTCCCCTTGAGGCGTACAGAGAAGGTATCAGGGCTTGGGTTTTTTCACAGGTCATCAAATTATTCAAATAGTTAAGGTGTATGCCTTGAGGAGTTTTCCGGGGTGTAATTTCCTTGGTTTTGAAAAAACCTTTTGGTTGAGTGTTTGACTGTTTGGATATGACTAAATACACCTTTGCTTTATATTGATAGAGAAGTTAGCAGTTTCTATAATTCTTTTGGCAAAATTATTTAAAGGGAGGGGGAGATATGTCAGAAAGCATTTAGGCAAGACACTCATATAAAAAAGCAACTAGAAATAATTTCTTAATTCAGTGTTTTAAGCATTTTAAGTTTTATCAAAATGCCTCAAAAAAGCTCCACCAGACACCTAAGTGATTAGTGTTGGTGTTTTGGGAGACAAAATACTAAGCCAATGACCCCATATGTAATTCCAACAATTGTTGCTCCATAGACAAAACTACTAAGCAATGATTGTAAATCCATTATAATTATGGACTAGATATAATATATGACTCAGTATATGGACTATACCAAATGTGTAGAACACCATCCTTGAAATTTGAATAGCTATGCAATGCTCAAATTTCCATGCTTCCCATCATGTCAGAAGAATAACACTTGGGTACAAAGATGAAGACTGCCATAGTTAAAAACAAACGCACCCGTGACTCAAACGAACACAGGTAGTCCTGAATGACTTTTAAGTTGCTCCTTAGCTTGTCTTCATCCTGGGAAGTATTTAAAGACATAAAGTTAGCAATCATAGAGTAGTGAGTGCATGTGAACTCTGCCAGATCTT